TTGCTCATGGATGCTTATGATTACCTTTAACATGAGCAAATCATTAATTATCTCATTGCTTAATTGTCTTGAAAACGGCAAAATTGCAATGTAGAATTAATTAAAATTTCACATTCCAGTGCTCATGTACTTCCCAGTACTCAGTTCCCTCCATTAAGCAGGATCTTTGTTTTAAAAGAAAGGCAAACTGGCACACAAACCTGATTAGAAATGTCATGTGGATCATTGGAAATTAACACACACACACACAAGCACATTCAGTTGCCATAATTGGTCACAAAATTTGACCCCAATATCATAAATGAATATCTGGTGATGCATTTTAAAGAGCCGTCACAATTTCAGCGAGTGCCCTCGTACACCTTTATATCCATCTACCCTTCTCTAAACGACTCAGTCGCATTTTAATCCATGATTAGCATAAAGCCATAAATCATTGAAGAGGAGGCCAACTAAGTATTATGACACAGTGACCTAGAGATGCTGTGAAGTTAGTGAGCAAGATGGGAGGATGCAGAAATGATGGAAGGTAACGTGGAGATGCCCTTACCTTTACCCTCCCTAACACTTCACATTCTGATTAGATGTCACACACACTTAAAAGTCTGGGAGGAAATGTAATAAGACAGGGCCCAACACGTACCCCTGATGCACATCCCTGCAGGAATGCCCTTGAGGAAAGAGAAACTGGGCATATACAATGTGTATGTTGCATATGTAACATACCTATTAATATATTAGGCCTGCCTGAAATTGTGGAGCTTGGGGTGTTTAAACGGAAATTATGCAGTATCTGAGACTTTAAATAATGCAAGGAAAATATGACTAAACTAATATCTCATTCTGCATTCAAGTCATGTTGGAAATTAATGATGGGGTTTACAGGTTGAGCACAGGTATTTTTTTTTTGCACTTCATTCTGTCGCATTACTGCTAAAAAGCTGTTTATTTTAGGAAGTGAAAATGGCGATAAAATATGTATATGGCATCCATTTTATTTAAATGCAAATCATTTCACACATCACTCTGTAATTACGATTTCCGGACTGATTTCTTTATGCAGAATGATTTATGGGAGTGGGCAGTCACTTCTTAACTCTTTTGGTGTGATTCTCGTTTCCATGACAACAGCTACATGTTTACGATTATGGGTAGCATAGATCTTTACCAAGACCAAGACTACAAAGTTAAAATCATTGAGAGAACTTGTTTTATGGACAAAATGAATGACACACACACAACATGATACACACACCTTTGATTTCCATTACAACTGTCCCTGTGTGCAAATAGCAAGTTCTCCACCAAGACAGGGTTGATGTTTGATTAGCAACAAAAAGCCAGACTGGTTATTTACTCTGCTCAGCACTGTACTTGGTCTGTTCATGACTGTGCATCTTTTATATATCCCGTACTCAGATCAAACTCTCAGCTGTAGGTTCCTGGAGCTATTTTAATTTTTAATCATATAGTTTTAAGATCAATAGTAGGCTTGGTTCAAACAGCTGAGACCAATGGGCTATATGCACGCATAAGTTCCGCATTTGACGTAAGGATGCTCGTCCATTTCCGGTTGTGTAGATTAAAGCGGAGGAAAACCGGAGAAAACGGGATTATGGCAGAGTCTTCAATATTTACTGTCCTCTCGTCTTTGAAACGAAATGTACATACGTTTAGATGTAATTTTATATATAGTTATGTTTATTTAATATAATTTTAAAAAGAAGCATAAACACAACGAGGGGTGTCTGTTTTATCTGTTTTTGTGACTAACGTTTCTTTAGTATAACCATGGAGTATAAAATTCAATATAAATTCTCGGTATTGCATTGGACTCTATGATCGGCGGAAGTTATCGAGCATCCTTAATCCTTCACCGGAAATAACGCCGTGCATAGAGCCCATTCACAAAATTCGCTGGATAACATTTTGTTCCAAAATTACAAAAAATGCTCACTCACCCTTACAAACCATTCAAAAGTTCGGGATCTGTGGTATTTTTTTTTTATTTTTGGTCACCAAGGCTGCATGAAATCATTAAAAAATAGTAATATTGTGAAATATACAGTTTATAATAGAACTATATTATATTTAAAATGTGAGCATCGTTACTTGGTGTCAAGTGCTGATTTGCTGCTCAAGATTTCTTACCATCATCAATATTGAAAAAATTGTGCTGATTAATATTTTTGAGGACAACGTGATGATTTTTTTTTTTTTCTGGAGAACTATATATAAAAATACCATGATAATGTAAAATTGAGAGCAAATTCTCTATCAGCAAGAGCCAGTCCTTCACGAAACCCGAAGAAAGAGAAACTATAAGAATGGCAATATGAATGCACCGATTACTTATTTAAATGTCCTTCAAATACAGGATATCAAAGTGTGTTGTCTTGCAAGAGTAAAGAGTATTTTGCTTTAATCATATTTAATGTCATAAAAGTTAGCTTCTAAAGAATTAATACCAAAAGCAAAATAAAATCTAAAGTCAAGGGTGAAGAAGATCGATAAATAGGATGTGGTTGTCTTTACAAACCTTGCCAGTAAACGTGGACTTCTCTTGACCTTCACCTCTGAGAGCAGAAAGTGCCTTGGAATTATTGGCTCGGAGCCGTTCTTGCTTGTGCGAATGCCCTCTGTTCTGTCCTAAATGGAACATTGGAACATATTGATCTGATTGAACTGCACAAAAACCCAGAGTCGCCTTCTATCTTGAAAGCGCTATTAGAGTGTTTTCACAGTGTTTGTTTGGGGTGGAGGCAGTTTTTAGTGAAATAATAGTAGTGATCGTTGCAAAAATGAGTATTATTTTTTTTATTCTGCCAGATAATGTAGTTACCAGTGTTGGGGAAACTTCATTTTAATGGATTGCAATATTGGGTTACTCTCTAAAACCTAAAACAAAGTTACTTTTTATGGAAAGTAATGTGCTACATTACTTTTTCTCACCTGGGCTGGGCTTGATTGGTTGTTTTTTAATGACAAAACAAATCTAAAAAATCTAGACTGAATGAAATGCAAAATCAAGCCTGTACAGTAGAGAGCGCCGCTCAAACCTTTCAGCTGTGCTGCCATTATGAATTGAAGAAGAATATGCAGGAGAATAAAGTTCAACAGCAATAACAGCAAAAAGAAATGATCTCAAATGTGATTTTTTTCTTAAGTCGTTTTTGCTTATTAGTGTGATTGAATTGGATCAACGAAAGATAGCAGCAAATACATTGGTTAACAAAGTGAGATTAAATCTACCCTATCTCACGACCAATTCGTACGAATTCGTACGAGTGATTAAAAAGTGGCTAATTCGTACTAATTCGTACGACCTCACTCGTGCGAATTCATACGATTTGTCTAAACCCACGTGACGGTTATGTTTAGGGGCGGGGTCAGGGGTAGGTCATTCGTACGAATTCATACGAATTGGCCAATTCGTAAAATATGTACGATTTAGCAAAAATCTTACTAATTTGTACGACTGAGGTCGTATGAATTGTTACGAATTAGCCACCTCGTAAAATTCGTACGAATTCCCGTGAGATCGGGTTGGATTAAATACATAAAAGTGTATTTATCATCTATTATTGCAGGTTTGTTTAATATTTTGAGATTGCATTTCACAGTTTTTATTATTTTTAGGAATAATGAAATAAGTCTGTTTTTATGAGATAAGTAAATGCATGTTTAGAACTACAATTGTAGCAGAACTACAAAAAGCATTGTGTTAACGCGCCTCTGCTCTTACGATCACTCTCAACATGGGGACAGGAGAGTCAAAGTTACATGCTTTATTTTTTTTTGAAACGTTAACAGATATTTTGTTTTAAATTTAAAAGTAATGTGTTACTTTAGTTACTTTGAAAAAAAAAAAGTAATCTGATGTACCCCTCAACACTGGTAGGTACAGTATATGGGACCATGCTAACAACAAAAAGAAATACAATTCAGATCATTCATTTTTAATAAACACAAATTAAATTGGATTTGGAATATATTTGGAAGGTTAGTAAATGATAACAGAATTGACATTTCTGAGTGAAATCCCTTTGAATTTACTGTAAAACAAACATTTATGAATGTTGATTTAACTTGTATTTATAATACTTAGTAAACTGTGTATTACATTTTATCGTAAATGCTTTCCCTATCAATCCCCACGGTCAAATACCGGCTGTGAAGAAGATCATGCTTTACAGAGGGATATGCTTTTGATCGTGCTGAGTCACCATTAAGATTGCATTCTTCTTTGTAATTGTAATGTGAGGGCCTCTAGTGGTTAGGGACTGAACAGGTTAATAGAGTTCAGCTTGACAGAAACTTATGAGGTATTAGTGTCATATAGTCACAGTGTCACCTTATATACTGTAACCATCTCATATAGAGAGGATCAAACTCCTTTAAACACTCAGTAATAATAGCCATTATGGACTATTATTACATATGTAAACATAACTATGTTTACAGTGACCCTGAACACTGCAAGGCTGAAAGAGAAAAATATATGTATTTTACCCTTTTAATTAGGGGCTGATACACATTCTGATATGAGGTTTTATTTAATTCAAAATCAAATACCACCTGTACATAGTTGTGTAATGCCTATTGAATTCATCATCCTGTTGTATCTAAAACAGAAGTTCCCAAACTGGGATCCAGGGGTGCTGCAAGGAAAATGTAATAAAGAAAATACAGAATATATGTTGACATTATGGTTTTTATTCGGGTTGTTAAACGCTGGAAACTTTAAAACCAATCAGGGTTTTTTTTTATTTTATCATTTTGTATAACATATAATGGTAACACACACACACACACGCACACAAACACACACAAGAGGATCGTCATGTCTGGGCATCCTTGGCATAGAAGGTTTATAACACTGGTGATAGCAGGTGTATATGCAAATCATTCCTTGGCTGGGCGTGGCTTCGTCTGTTCAAGCGCCTCTTTTGACCATTCATGCTTCGTGTAGGCGGTCCTTAGTACAAGGAGGGGCGTGTTCTGACTCTCAAGCCGAAGTTACGAGTCCATCGATGTAATGAAACCGTTACAAGTCCTACAATCCGGATAATCAGGCACAATTACTTAAGAAAAACCGAACCCAGCGCAAAAGCAAAACAGTCCAGTCGAGTTTATTGTTACAGGATGTGCTCTGAAACGAAGACGTGAGTGCGCGCGCTGGAGACGCAGACGCGGGACTGTCAATGCCCGGATTCTCTATTGATCATGCTAATGTATGGAGATATAACTTCTTAAAATAAGCAGAAATGTGGCCGGCTCGCTTTCTTCGCTTCTTCTGCCTCGTCGTCATAATTGTGGTGGTTCAGAGGAGCAACGGTCAGTCAGGTGAGTGATGGTAAAAGTGCGTAAAGGGACTTGGCAAGCTGCGCACTTGACCGGTGTGTGCGCTGCTGTTATCGACTACTTTGCTGCTTTTAAACAACCTGAGATTAAATGATTGTGAAGTGTATGATTTGGGCACTGTGTATCCCTGCAGTCTTTATGTTGACCAGAGGAGGATTCCATTGGAATCACACACACTTCAGGACTAAGTGCTGCATATGACATCTCTTTATGTTTTTTTATATTTCTCACAGTGTTTATTTTGTCATATTAGCGAATCAATAGTCTAATAGATATAATGGCCTGACATAGATAAAGTTCTGTATTTGTAAGTAGCCTAAATATAATAGTGTGCACGAATCATGATAGTGACGACATTTTCAAACCTGTCGTGGAGGAAACCCAGCATTGCACATTTTGTAAGTGTCCCTCATCTGATTCAACTTTCATTATTGGAGACTGTAAGACCTGAAGTGTGTGTGTCAGATAAGGGAGACAGCATACAAATAGTCGTCACCAAACTCATGAGGTACATCTCAAGACACTGTGGCAATGTCACAAAAAAAGTTTGGTGTCAAAATACTTCGCTTTGCTTGTTTCAAACTACTTTTGAGAGAGAGAGTTAGGCCCATTGTGGCCTAATCAGGGTCATAAGAATGGTCCAAACAATTCAAAAGTTATAAGCAAAACCAGTAGTTAACACTTCCAACAACCTAATCAAGTGCCGATTCCCATTATATACCAATTTATATTTTCAAAAGTCCAAATCCTTGCTAATTTTATTTGTCACTAACTTCCTGTTTGGCAAGCTCCCGCCTAAATTTGATGACGTGTGACGTTTTTATAAATCAGAATTGATTGAATTTTGACTATAATAGTGTGAATGTGGTCTTGTGTGAATCTCAAAACCATTATAGCTATCTCTCTCTCTCGCTCTAATTGAGTGGAATATTTTTCTAGACCAGTGTTCAAGGATTAAAACTTAAACGCAAATGTACCTGTTGGTGGCGCTTGAGAGAATCCGATGAAACACCACACTTACCAACAGGAATAGAACGTCCCTTTCCAGTTACTAAATTTCACAATATAGTTCAAGGCACTGTCATAGGCTTCCAGTCAGTTGAGAGTCTATTTTAATGTGTCGTTGCGCGTAAAGGCACTTGATGGAACGCAGCGCGTGAGCGCGCTCAGCGGAACGCGCATTTCCTGCGCGCTTGGCATCGCGCTCCAGACCCCTACGCTCTGTTCAAATAACTGCTCAGCATATTTCAGCATCCACACTGTGAGAAGTCTACTCAGCGTTGGCGGTGCATGAATTAAGTTTTGTTGATCAGTGTAGGCTATATGAACTAGGAGAAATGTGGATGGAGGTTATCATGACACAAATATCAGTGAGTGTTATGACGCAAAACGGTGCTAGTGCATCCAGAGAGGCATTCTTGCATATCATATTGGTTTATGTGTGTCAGTTCTTATGATGAATATAACTTTTGACTGAATGGGTGAATCATCAGAACGTGTCCAGATCACAGTTTACACAAATCATTTGTGAAAATATTATCATGGTGATAAAGATTAAATCACCATGATAATATAGTTTCTCAATAGTCATTTAATCAGTGCATAAAGTAAAATATTGTAGTACAGGGTTTTTATGTCAATATAAATATCTACATTAATGATGTACAAAGATGTTATGGTTACACTCTAAAAAATGCTGGGTTGTTTTAACCCAATTTTGGGTCAAATATGGACAAACCCGAAATGTTGGGTTAAAAATGTAATGTAAAAATTTAACCCAACGGCTGGGTTAGTCCATATTTGACCCAAAGTTGGGTTAAAACAACCCAGCATTTTTTAGAGTGTATGGTTTATTTTTTTATTACAATAATATAACTTCTACAATTTATAAAATCACCTTTTATGTGATGATATGTGATGTAGTCATGTTCTTGCTATAAGTTTGGTGAGATTTACAACAATAAACACTCTAAACCCAATTTTGGGTAAAATATTGACAAACCCAAATGTTGGATTATGGTTTGACCATATTTGAATTGGGTTAAAACAACCCAGCATTTTTAGAGGTGATATGTACTCTCATTTTTTTATTCTTCAGCCTGTAGTTGAAACAAATAACATAATTTAAAAAAAAATTTTAATTCATTGTTAATTCGATTCCTATTTAAATGGATTAGACTAAGATCCTAAATGATCAGATTGTGACCCTAAATGATTATTTATCATTTGGGATGATAACTCATTGATTATCACTGATTCTTTGAATGATAATGTCAGGGTGTGAGTACATAGAAGATCACTGTATAGTTCCAGAACATTTTAAAAAAAGAAGATAAATAAAAAAATTCCCAATGCAGGAAACTCTTCACAGATTAAATCAGGGTTTCATATTTTTGATATGTTCCTTTATATCTAATTTGAGCTTCAGCTCACTGCTCAGTCTGCAGATAAATGACACAAGATCTGACCCAGGCTGAGATGTGACATTTAAGTTCTAAAGGATATTGACTCGGGAATGCAGTCAAATTATTACTCAGCGTCAACTTGGATTAAGCTCTGTTGAGAGTCCCATTGAGTCCCTCAGTAATTAAACTTGTCACTGATATGGTGTCTAGACATGAACATATTTTTATGAGCGGGAAATGTTGTTTGCAATTTTGACCAAGTATAATCCTCTTATTAATAATTTATTTGTCGTGGACTCATAACTTTAAATGACACTTGTTGCCCATGTCTTACAATACAGAATCATTTATTAGTAACGTGGACGTTCAATGATAAGCAGTATAAACATTAATAATTAATAATGCACACATATTAATAATTGTTATTAAACATTATTTTCAGAAATGCAAGTGAAAGATTCAAAAGATTTAACATTTTATTATCTTAAAACCTGGGTCAAATTTCATCCAAAAATCAATTAAAAAAAAAAGAATATATTTTTAAACAAATTTTCTTAAATGAATCAAGGATGCCTAATTGATTGTTCGTTCGTTCGTTCCCTCTTTCTTTCTTTTTTATTTATTTATTTATTTGTTTTATTTAAGGATTGAATGTGACCTGTGAGGTCTTTTTTGTGAGAATGAGAATCACCCTCAAAGTTAAAAATAATTAAAAAAAAAAATTTCGAATTAATATAAAGAGTCCTTTAAACTTCCTTTGGCATATTTACAAAGTAGCTTTTTCCTGCCTCAAATGTCTGAACGCAAACATCATGAATGTGACATTTTTTTTTAAACCAATAAAGCTAATTTGGGAACCTGAAGGAATGTTTCCCTAGTTTAAGGTTCTTTTCCACCTTAAAATTGTACTCTGAAAACAAAGGCTTGCTGGTTTCCTTCTGTGGTTGTGGCATGGCTTCTGTCCTTTTGCCTTGGAGACATCATCCCCCCCCCCCCCCCCTCCTTCCTTCTCTGTCACCTCACTGTCTCTCAGTCCTTCTCCATCCTCTCAGAACAATTTGGCTCGGTGCCTCTCCGTCAGGTGATCCGTTACTTCCCATGCTAATGTGAACTTTTATATTAAAAAAAAAAACAACTAAAACTGAAACAACAATAAGTTTGAGGTTGGAATTTGGAAGGTTTCTCGGTAAAACTTTAGTTTAGGGTCCAATTCTTAAAACTAATTGCTTATACAGTAGCATGCGTATTATTAGGATATTGACTGTTTATTATTACTTATAAAGCACATATTAATGCCTTATTATACATGACCATGTCCCTTTATCCACCCCAAACCTAAATTTAACCTTAGCTATTAAGAAGCAGTGATTAGGAGGTTATTGAGGCAAAAGTCGTACAAATCCCAAACTAAAGTGTGACCGTAAACTAATACAATAACTGAAAACTCACCATGCTTTTGCATGCATGAAGGATCTGTGGATAATTATATTTGGCGTAATTATGGGATATACTGGATGTGTCATTGCCTAGCAACTAGCAATATTCAAAACGTCAGCCCTGCTACCTTAAGAAATGTCACATGTGGTGTGAGTCTCGCGTTGCCTCAAATTAGTTGACGATTTTCTTCTGATGAAACACTTCTAAGGATTAGAGACTATAAATATATAGTTTTACACATTTTTGAGATGTCGAATGTCTATTTTGAGACAATAGAGCTCCATGGACTGTTAAATGTAGGTCAAATTTAACCAAAAAAAAGTCTAATAAGCATATTTGTCCACATGCTGAAAATCTGCATAATTTCATAAGGTGTCGTGTAACTTTCCTGTGTTGGTGTCTACTTAATTTGACTAGCTTCTAATAAGAGACAGCTGAATTAAAAAACAAAATGTATATTTTACTATAGTTTTGGATGCATACGCTTTGTCAACATGCAAAGATATGTGAAGCGTTTTCTCCTCTCTTTTTAAATGTTGATGAGTCTTTTTATCCTAACTATCCATGGTTATATTTAGCTTGTGTTATTATTTGTATTGAGTTTCTCTCTCTCTCTCTCTGTTGTCAGTCGTTTTTGTAACATGACTAACACAATCTCATGGCGATCGATAACTATTTTATGTTTTCAATCTGCTTACACCCATTGACGGATATGTTTTGGTTTAGGAACGGACTATCATTATGTCTGTTATGTTTTCGTTTGAGTCACACCGTAGGAATTTATATGAAAGACTCACTTCATAAAATAGCTATATTTTCCAGTGAAGTTGTATTGGTCGTGTCTCATCAGATGAGAACCACTAGTCTGAACCTGAAAAGAGCAGAGAGTTGTATGGTGAGGTTTATTGTGAATTAGCTTGCTGCCGTGCGGGTGGGAAACACTGGCTACTTTGTCCCTTTAAACTCTTCCTTGTGTGGCAGTGACCTGTAATAAAGCATGTGCTCGGACGTGGCAGCTGGGATGGGAGAAAACGGTAAAGAGGGATTGAAGAGCGAAAACAGTACTCCAGTTGTACTCCGCAACATCTCTGTGTCTACTTGGGTCCATCAACCCTCATGGCCTCACGTTTTTTTTGCTGT